TTCCTACTTGTACCCACCTGCTTGCTAGTTCATTCATTCCTTCCTCATTTCTTCACAGCTAAACCCTAGCTATGGCTCCTCACTGTGCTCACTATTCTCACGACAAGGAGGCGCTCGCGATCATCCATGCGTATAAGGTGTGAAGGTGCTACCTAGAGGGGGCAGATAGTGTTATACGCACGGACCACTGTTCGCTTCGTTTCCTCAAGTCGCAGCCGCAGCTGAGTCGTCGCCAGGCTAGATGGATGGAGTTCATGGAGGGGAGCTTTCACTACAGGACAGAGTACAAGCCAGGCGTGCGCAACCCAGCAGATCCGCTCACTCGCCCTAGTTGCCAGCTCGCTAGTCTCACAGTCACTGCCGGCCACCCACTTCTCACAGCACTCTTCGAGCACGGTTACACAGTAGATCCCGACTTCACCCCGCAGCCGCCCGCAGGAGCAGAGGTGCAGGGTAGTGTCTACATACGGAAGGGTACCACACGGATTTGGGTTCCTGCCTATCGCCCTCTTCGACAGCTCCTTCTTTCCGAGGCACACGATGTCGTTAGTGCAGGTCACTTCGGAGCAGATAAGACGGCTAAGACGCTTAGTCGCACGTACTACTGGCCAGGGCTTGCAGCAGACGTAGAGGATTACATTCGCTCGTGCGATACGTGTCAGCGTACGAAGTCGTCTCGCCAGCGCAAAGCAGGACTCTTGCAGCCGATTCCACCGCCCGACCGCCCTTGGCAGGTAGTCACCATGGATTTCATCATGGCTTTACCGCGCACAGTTAGGGGTCACGACGCCATCTTCGTTGTAGTCGACAAGTTCTCTCGAGCAGCGCACTTCATTCCACGCACAGCAAGGTCACAGCAGAGGAAGCCGCGACACTGTTCGTAGATAACGTAGTCCGACTGCACGGGGTTCCAGATTCCATCATTTCCGACCGCGACCCTCGTTTCACTTCGAAGTTCTGGAAGCAGCTTTTCGCACTGTTTGGGACTCGCTTAGCCATGCCGTCTGCGTACCATCCAGAGACAGACGGACAGACCGAGCGTGTGAACCAGACCTTGGAGCAGATTCTTCGCAGCATCACGATGCACGACGCAGCCGCATGGGACAAGAAGCTGAGCATGGCCGAGTTCGCTTATAACAACACGCACCACTCCGCCACAGGCATGTCACCGTTCTTCGCACTGTACGGTCAGCACCCCAACGTCCCCACTCGTGTCGATCTCACACCCACAGTCCCTCGTGCGGACAACTTCCACCAGCATCTCACATTCATTCATGATCACGTGAGGAAGCACCTTGAGCTCGCAAATGCACGCATGGCATGCACCACCAACCGCAGTCGTCGTGAGGTGTCGTTCGCAGTCGGCGACCGTGTTCTCTTGGATAGCCGCAACCTCCGACTGCCATAGGACAGCAGGCTTCGTCCACGTTTCATTGGTCCATTCGTCATTGAGCGCGCACTTGGTCCAGTCGCATACCGCCTCCGCCTTCCCGCTCATTTCCGCATGCACCCGTCATTCCACGTGTCGCTTCTTCGTCCTTACACCGATCCCAACGCCACCTTCTCGGGCCGTGACCGCACTCCACTGCCGGTAGCTGTTGACACCGACGAGCCCGACTACCAGATCCAGCGCATTCTCAGGCACCGTCGCCGTCTCCAGGGGGGTGTCTCTTTCATCGACTTCTTGGTTCGTTGGCGTGGTTACGACGCAGCAGACGACAGCTGGGTTCCTTTGTCCTCGCTGTCTCCCGACAACGCTTGCCTCCAAGCGTACCTCCAGTCTGCAGGCGCCCCGGACGTCGCCTCCTTGGGAGGGGGGTAGTGTTAAGGGGGGATTTACTGTCCATTCCGAACAGTACATTCCAACTCACCCTTCTCCTTATCTTCTCAGATTCTCTAGTGCCACGTGGCACTCTACTTTTCTAGCTTCACAATTCCTAGTCCCACAATCTACTTTCCAACCTTGTTTCTTGCATGCTACTTAAAGCCCGCATGCAAAATAGTGACCCCCGTCCCAACTTGAAAGTGGTGTTGCGACAATATTTTTTGAAGCGAAGAGAGAATGAAACAAGTCTGACAAAACACTGCTTGAAACAAAACGTGCGGGCAGAGTGAGCTCATGTGATTGGCTCTCGCCAAAATGGGATGTTGTCGCTCCCGCCAGAATGGACTTTCCCGCTCACATTTCTGCGACCTGCACTTGCACGACCGTTCCCTGGCGATGGTTTCCATCGTCCTTGCGATGTGTTCCATCGCAAGGCCAACTTCAATATCAAGCTGGTCCTGGGTTCATAACTCCCTGATTTCTACTCCCTTACTCCGTAGTCTTTTTCCACACGCATAGTATAGCGGAAAGCATATGTGCTTGTGTCATAGGCACGGAATTATCGACGACTGCGTTTATTCGCATGAATGGGTGATTTAGTATTACGTAGCCTAGTAGCGCGGTGCTATTTTTCCCGCCAGTAGCACAATCGTCAACCTCCGCATCGCCGTCAGCCCATGTCGCCTTTCCCTCGCCATTACCTTCGCCCCCCCTTTACCCGTCGCACTTCGCGTACCCTCCCCGTTTCCCCTCCCATCACCCACTTCGTTACATTCTCGCTCACCCTGAAACGCCCTCTCGTCGCCCTTCCTTTCTCCCCTCCCGTCACCCACCTCGTCGCCTATGCGCTCGCCTCGAAATCGAGGCGCACTCTCGTCGCCTCCCACGTCTCTCCTCCTATTACCCACATCATCGTCGTCGCCCTAAGCCCGCAATGCCCTCTTGTTGCGCGCAGTCGACTCTCCTCGCCCATCGCCCTGCCGCTGGCCTTGAAACGCCCTCGCGGCTCCCTTCTTCACTCCCCTCCCATTACCCAATTCGTCGCCTTTGCGCTCGCTCTGAGCCGCCCTCCCGTTGCCTATCATCTCTCCACTCCCATCCCGTCGCCCTCGTGTTCCCCTCTCATCTCGCCCTCGAACCGGGCTCTTGTCCAGTAGCCCTCATTGTTTCTGTCGCCCTCTCTCTCCTCTTCCCTCACATTGTTTCTCTCTGTTTTTTCCCTCCTTTTGGTTTTCTCAGCGATTTTGCCGCCCTCTCTCAGGCCCAAAGTCTTCATACGCAGCAAATAATCCTAACCTCTCTCGCTCTTTGCAGAACCTTCACAAGCTGCCACCGCGCTTGTGCTTGTCACCTTCCCCCGCCATCGCGCTCACGTTCTCCCCTTCCCCCGCCATCGCGCTCACGTTCTCCCCTTCCCCCGCCATCGCGCTCACGTTCTCCCCTTCCCCCGCCATCGCGCTCACGTTCTCCCCTTCCCCCGCCATCGCGCTCACGTTCTCCCCTTCCCCCGCCATCGCGCTCACGTTCTCCCCTTCCCCCGCCATCGCGCTCACGTTCTCCCCTTCCCCCGCCATCGCGCTCACGTTCTCCCCTTCCCCCGCCATCGCGCTCACGTTTTCCCCTTCCCCCGCCATCGCGCTCACGTTCTCCCCTTCCCCCGCCATCGCGCTCATGTTCTCCCCTTCCCCCGCCATCGCGCTCACGTTCTCCCCTTCCCCCGCCATCGCGCTCACGTTCTCCCCTTCCCCCGCCATCCCGCTCACGTTCTCCCATCTTCGCACCACCTTCGCGCTCATGGTCTCCCCTCCCATCTCCCTCGTGCTCACGTTCTCGTCTCTCATCGCCTTCTCGCTCGCACCTCCCGTCCCTTCCTGTTGCCCTCGTGTTCTCCCGTCCCGTCCCGTCGCCTTCGCGCTCGCACCTCCCGTCCCGTACCGTCGCCCTCGTGCCCTCCCCTCCCCAATGCCCCTCCCATCACCCAACCAGTAACCTTTGGCCCCTTGTTCTCTACCTCTCCCCTCGCGTCCGTGTTTCCGTCGGCCTCTCACTCTCCTCTTCCGACTCCTTGACTCACTTTGTTTATCACCTTCTCCTGTTTGTTTTTCTCTGCATAATTTACACCCCCGAACCCATTCCTACAGCTCTCGCTTTTTGCTGAAGGCTCAGGCGCTACCGATGCAAGTGTTTGTCTCTGCATGTGGAATTCCCACGACGTAGAACTGGGAATTTGAATGTGGAACGAATGTGAATGTGGCACGAATGTGAATGTGCCACGAACGTGATTTTGGCACCCCTTACGACACATTTGCCCAACCCTGCGACCAGATTCCTCGATCAAAATCGAAAAGATGGTTCAGTATCTGGAAAAAAAGAAAAACTGCAACACATTACACCCTACAAACAAAACCTCTGAATCAGTATATCAAGTGGACCCAACTAGAAGGGGGGGGTCACTATTTTGCATGCGGGCTTTAAACCTTGCTTGTACTTGCCATTATCAATCAATTCTCATTCAACTCTTCTTCAATTACTCAGTAACTTCTTTGCCTATTTCGCTAGTAGTTCTTTCGCCAAAGTCTTCCGCCGCTTTTCATCCTCGACTTAGTCGACCCCGCTAATTCTTTCGCGGACTTAGGCCGTCGGGCCTAACAGTTAAAGCCAGCAGCTAAAATAGTGACCCCCCCCTTCTAGTTGGACCCAACTTGAATTATGAAGTTTTTTTGCAATGTTTCCAAAAAGTTGGAGTGCTCTGCTTTGGGTTTTTCAACTTCAGACAAGTTTCGCATAAACCTGGAACAGAAGGGAATCTTTCTCAATTCTGATTGGCAGCGAGATGCTCCTAGTGTTCATGTGCGAATTTGGCGCAAAGGTGAGCGATGTGCACTCCTGCAATCACTAGAGCCGTACCAAGTTGAACCAAACTCACATCTAACGACACAAAAAGGTAAATCCCAAGCAGCCGACGCATGTATGGGATGAGAGTGCAAGTGCGTGAACGTGGAGAGAGCTACTCTGAGCAATGTGCTGCCTTGGACGTGGGGCCTGGGAAAGGTGCACTAACGGGATTTGGGGGGGAAAAAAAACCTGAAGGGGAAATGAATAGGCTGGAAAATGATCACGCGAACGGCAAAAAAGAGGGAGATGGGGAGAGAGGAAGAGTGTGTTGTCGACGAAGTTATAGACGGAAGGGGCGAAAGAGCGAGAGACGAGAAGGAAGGATGAGAGGAGCGGGGACAGCGAGAGCGACGGGAAGGGAGGGGGGATAAGAGTAACGACGGAAGGGTAGCGGAGAGAGGAAGAGGAGGGGCAGAAAGTGAGGCGACGAGAGTCGACGGAGTGGGAGAGGAGATTGCTAGGGCGATCGCGACGAGAGAGCCACGAAAAGGGCGAGGAGATGGCGACGGGAGTGGGATGAAATGCGTCAGCAATTTACAGAGTGCTCGGTGAAATGGGCGATGGGAAGTGAGCAACGAGAGAGAGGGCGACGAGAGAGAGGGCGATGGGAAGTGAGCGGCGAGAGAGAGGGCGACGAGAAGGGAGCGGCGAGAGAGAGGGCGACGGGAAAGGAGCGGCGAGAGAGAGGGCGACGGGAAGGGAGGGGCGAGAGAGAGGGCGATGGGAAGTGAGCGGCGAGAGAGAGGGCGACGAGAAGGGAGCGGCGAGAGAGAGCGCGACGGGAAGGGAGCGGCGAGAGAGAGGGCGACGGGAAATGAGCGGCGAGAGAGAGGGCGACGGGAATCGAGCGGCGAGAGAGCAGGCGAAGGGAAGGGAGGAACGTGAGCGCGATGCCGATGGGAGGGAGAGCGCGAAGGTCGACGGGAGGGAGAGCGCGAAGGCGATGGGAGGGAGAGCGCGAAGGCGACGGGGAAAGTGATGGGAGGGGAGGGAGGAAGGGCGCGGGGTGTAACGGATCTAGTAAGAAAAAGGGCATTTACCCATATAATAATAGCTTCTAGTACAACCAGAGAGTAACAGCTCCTGGAAATGACTAAGTCTGAGAGTTGCTGGGAAAATGCAGTAACAAATCTTGGAGGGTGAGTTGAGGAGAAGACAATCCTATTTCCCAATTGATTAGTTGGGAGTAGGAAATGAAGAATGAGCCAAGAGGCTTCAGACCCCTTCCCTAGACCCCCTTGGGGTGCAGCCACCTTCCCCATGGCAAGGAAGGGTGCACCACAATGGGCCTTGCCCATGTGGCAAAGGTGAATCCTTTTACTCAATGACATGGCACAAACAATGGCATAAAATGCTGTGTATGCAATATGTTATCCATACCTGTCATGTTATAACTGGTTGCAATTCCAACGCAAGAGTTGAGTTGGACTTCGAATGTTTGTGATTGGCTATATTTCCAACCAGCGGCGAGGGCCTTGTCGACTCACTTTGTATAAAAGTGTTCTGATTGGTTGGCTTGCCAACCAGTCCGTTTCCCCGCTTTTCAACCAGTTCATTTCCATGTCCTCTTCCCAACCCAGGTTCAATGTATCGAGACCCTGGGTTGGTTGGGTATCGAAATGTTACACTCCTCCCCCTCCAGCTGGCAACGTCCTCGGTGCCGTGGGGTGCTTCTTAGGACGAGTGCTACGAGCACGACGAACCACATTACGACCAGGGTCAACACCATCCGCTGGTTGTGGGAGTGCCCGTTGAGCCAGGTCTTCCATGTAAGACTGAACCGCAGTATCAGTCAAATGTTCTTCCGGCTCCCAAGAGTTGTGTTCAGGCCCATAGCCTTTCCACTTAATGAGGAACTCTCGTACAGTCTTGCGGCCGCGTTGTCGATCACGATGCAAAAACACTCGTTCGACTTCATAGTACAGTTCCTCCCCTAGAACGATTGTTGGTGGTGGTAAGTACTTGCCTTCTGCAACGTACTTGCTTAACAGAGACACATGGAAGACATTGTGAATCTGAAGGGTATCAGGTAGCTTGAGTTTGTAAGCTACCGCACCAACTCGTTGAATCACCTCAAAGGGCCCAATCCAGCGAGGGAACAACTTTCTCGCACCAGGGATCTTAAGCCGAATGTTCTTCGTGCTTAACAAAACTTTGTCTCCAACAGAGAACAAGACTTCCCGGCGTTTCATATCGGCATAGGATTTTTGCCTCTGTTGGGCTAATTGCAGCCAACGACGTGCCGACTTTAGGGCCTCTCGTTGCTTGCCCACAAAATCCTTTGCGGTAGGTAATTTCAAACCGCCGATCCCATGCGTAGCAGGTGTTGTGGGATGCCGACCACAGTTCAGGATAAATGGTTTTTCATGTGTGCTATCATGCACTTAGTTGTTAACCGCAAACTCGACCATGGGTAACAACTCGTCCCAGTTGTCCTGTGTTGGGCTTATGAAAGAACGAAGCATCTGCTCGAGAGTGCGGTTAGTCCGTTCCGTTTGCCCATCTGTCTGGGGATGGAACGCTGACGACATCTTAAGCTTCGTTCCTAGTGTCTCGGTTACTTCACGCCAGAATCGGCTCGTGAAGCGCGGGTCGCGATCAGACACTAATACACGTGGCAATCCGTGTAGACGGAACACATGTGTCACGAACAACCGAGCAGTATCCTCTGCTGATATGTCTGTTGTCGTGGGTACGAAGTGCACCATTTTTGTGAGGCGATCTACAAAGACGAGTATCGCCGTATACCCATCACGGGTTCTTGGGAGGTCGGTGATGAAATCCAGTGAAACGCTTTCCCAAGGTTCACTCGGAATTTCAAGTGGTTGAAGCAAACCACCAGGCTTCTGTGTTTCCGCTTTGTTACGTGCGCACACGTCACAACGTGCCACAAACTGTTGGACATCACTACCGACTCCTGGCCACCAATACACATCTCGTAGGGCCCATCGGGTCTTATTCATGCCCAAGTGTCCCCCATATTTAGTGGCATGCACCTCTTCCAAAATATCGTTCCGCAGATTGCCTACGTGAGGTACCGCAATCTCTTTTGTTCGCCACCAAAGATCGTGTTCCCATGTCAAATGTCTGGTGTTTTATGGGTTCTAGAACCAGGAATCAATATGATATCCTGTACGAATTCGTTTCAAAAAGCCACTGAACGCGATCTCGCTCACTTTCGCTGCAGCTAGTATGCCAAAACAGGCAGCAAAAACAGCCGCATGTTCGGTATCGTCAAGCCCAGTTGCTGCCCCTATCGGCTGTCTGCTGAGGGGGTCAGCCAGGTTCGTGGAACCTGCACGATAACGAATGTCGAAACTGAACCCACTGAGGAGTTCAGCCCAACGGGCCTGACGGCGAGTGAGGGTAGCTTGGGTAGAAAAATATGTGTTCGGACAATGGTCAGTGGTGACCACGAACTCTACCCCTTCCAAGTAACATCGCCATGTTCTTAGCGCATGCACGACAGCCAACAACTCTTGTTCGGTTGTCGTGTAGCGTTGCTCTGCCGGGGAGAGTTTTCTGCTCTCAAATGCCACAGGGCGTCCTTCTTGCAGGAGTACTGCACCAAGTCCCACCGTCGAGGCGTCCGTAACCACCTCATATGGTTTCTGTGGGTTTGGCAACACCAAAACTGGTGCGTTGGTTAATTTATGCTTGACCTCTTTGAAGGCCTTTTGGCACTGTGGAGTCCACTCCCATGTGCACCCTTTCCGGGTCAATGCCGTGAGGGGAGCGACTATCGTGGAATAATTTTCCAAGAAGCGACGAAAATAATTCGCCAGGCCCAGGAATGATCGAACTTGGCCAACGTCGCGTGGGACGGGCCACTCCTGGACAGCTGCTACCTTCTTGGGGTCCACTTTCAGACCGTTGTGCCCCACTACGTGCCCCAAATACTCCAGCTCACGTTTGTAAAAATGGCATTTCCACAAACGTGCGTAGTATTTGTGCTCGCGTAATTTTTCGAGGACCCATTTCAGGTGTTCCGTATGCTCATCTTCGGTTTTTGAGTATACCAGGATATCATCGAGGTACACCAAGACGAACTGGCCAATCGCATCACGAAAAACATCGTTCATCGCCCTCTGGAAAGAGGCCGGAGCGTTGGTCAAGCCAAAACTTAACACACGCCACTGAAAATGGCCGAACGGCGAACGGAAAGCCGTCTTTGGAACATCGTCCTCTGTTATACGCAATTGGTGATAGCCTTGCGCCAAATCCAGTGCACTGAACCATTGCGCACCCTGTAGTCGATCAAATAAATCTTCTATGCGCGGAAGTGGATATCTGTTTTTTTATCGTAATTTTATTCAGGGCTCGATAATCGACGCACATGCGCAGTCCACCTCCCTTCTTGTGAACAAACAAGATAGGTGCTCCATATGGGGACGCGCTAGGTTCTATCCATCCCTTCCTGAGGTATTCCTCAATCTGTTGTTTAGCCTCCTCGTACTCAGCTGGACTGAGGCGATACAGAGGTCTAAATGGTGGTGCCTTTCCTGGTTCCACCGGGATGGTGTGGCCAACTGCACGGTCGGGAGGTAACCCGTCCGGAATTGGTTCGAAAACCTCGGAATATTCCTCTGCCAATGCCTTCATTTGAGGTGGAAAGTCCTCAATAATCTGTGAAGGGGTTGGTTCAGAGTCCAGCTGTACAACAAAAAGTGTATCAGCTCCCTTGACATGCTCTTTGAATTGGAGAGTCGACGTAAAGCGCACATCAAGAGCCAGGCTTTGAGGTTTGTCGTCCAGTGCATGGCGCTTTGGGACTTGTCATTGAAACGCCGTCCCATTCTTTGTGAATGAAAGCGCGTTATCTTGGAAATTTAATATTACCTCATTAGGCCGCAGCCAATCCATTCCCAAGACAATGTCTACGCCTGCTAGGAGGGGTAAGACAAAAACGCTGATGGTCTCCTGATATCCTTGGATATCTAGGTTGACCAAGGCATGTCCTCTGCATGGGATGACCCTGTCATCTCCCAGACGGATAGAGCAAGATGGTCCTTGAACAGGCACATTCAAATACCCCATCCATTTCTCATCGATCAATGACGCAGTCGCTCCTGTATCAACCCGGATCGAGGCACTGCGCCCATTTACGCGACCCGAAAACAAAAGGTTCTGCTGATGTTTGGGTCGAATAGGACATGCTGTAATATCAGTGGGAGGCAAATAATATGCCTTAATGCCGTGCTTGCTGCGTCCAAAAGAACGAGCTTGTGTCCACCACACATGGTGTCCCTTATCCCACTGCGCTAACACGCTCCATCCTTGAAGTGCTAGAAACAATTTACCTCGAACTGTGCGCGTTACCATTCCAACCGCAGTTAGAGGGTGCGCTTGGGTGCAACGACCCACCATCTCCATTATCCAAGGCAAATTATGGTGATCACAAAATATAAGTGAGAATTTATCTCGTAATGATTCAACTGTGACATTTTCCAGTGGGTGAAATCGAGAGGCAAACAAAGAGCTTTCATTAAAAGAAAATGCATACACACATGCAATTTTGCAATCAACAAGGCACTCGAGTTTCAATAACTCCTCATCCCGCAGGACCACTGCCTCATCCTCTCGATCTACTATGCCCGCAAGGTACCCACCCCCTAGTTGGGCTTTGCAAAATCCCGCTGGCTGCCCGAGGGACCACTGCCATCATGGCGCTTGTTGTCCGTCTTGGACTTGCCAGAGTACTTCACCGCCTTGCGGTGGCGGCACTCATAGCCCTTGTGTCCAGGCTTGCCGCACTTGAAGCAGCTCTGGACATTGCTTGGTCCACCCTCGTTGACCTTCTTGGCCTTGTGGTCAGCCTGCTGCCCCTGCTGGAAGGGCCTCTTGTGGTTCCCGCACTTCCAAGGCGTTCCCTGCTACCTTCCGCTAGGACCCGCAGTGCTAGAAGACGGCCTTGAGGCCTGCTGCGGCTGGGTAGTGGTTTTGGCATAAGCGCGGAAGTGCTTATCAGTGGTCCCCACCACGCGCTTCACGTGATCATAGGACCTCCATGCCTCCCCAGCCCCATCCGTCATATGCATGTTCTTGAGGTGCTCAGGCAGCCCCCTGAAGAACAGATGGATCTTTTCGCCTTCGCTCATACGTTCCGCCGGTTTCTGGAGCACCCAGATCTCCTCGAACTCCACGGCGTACTGCTGCACTGTGCGGTTCCCGCACTGCAGCTTCTCAAGGCGGCTGCGCACCTCCAGCTGAGTCGGCTGGACCTGGAAAGCTTGCTTGAGTGCAGATGCGAATTCCTCCCACCCAAACGGCTTCCTATCCGCCTCAGCCTGGATCTTGCTGCCATACACCACTCGCTGTGCGTTCTGGTCCAGCACGGTGGTGGCAGCGACGACGCGAGCGTCGTCTTGGACCTTGTGCGCCTTGAACAGGTCGGTCATCATCGACAACCACGCAGCCACGTCCGTTTTGCCATGGATGAATGGCGGCAGGGTGATTGGCAGAGAGCCAAAAGCCTGCGTGCTCGGCTCAGCAGCGCGCTGCGTAGAAGGACCAGGGTCACCCACTGCACCACCAGAGCGAGAAGGGTTGGTGCGACCGCTAGCAGAGTTGGCAGGCGGGTCCGCTCGTGGTGCAGGGCGATACATGGTCTCCCTTCGGAGGGCACTTGTGAGGATCTAGGATCGAGCTCAGAAAAGAGAATTTGAATTGAATGAATCACCTGGGTACAACACGAGGCTATATATAGGCTCGACACAAGGCCCCGTAACCAGGTGTTACGCGAAGGTTCCGCGGGTCGCGAAGCGTCCCGAACAGATCCTTACCGAATTCGGTAGAAGGCAATTCGGTGGCAACCGAAATGCCAGAATTCGGTGCACGCAATCTAGCTCGGTGCTATAACTATAATAAAATATAGGAAAGCACCTAGCCTAGGAAAGCAAGCAATTCATGCATGCATATAATTATCATATGCTAGAAATAGTATAATAAAGTAAAGGCAAGCAAGCATAGCTGGCATAAGCCGTCGTACTCTCACACGTCCCCCCCTCAAAGCTGGGTGGCGTGAGATACACCCTGCTTGACAAGATAGTCCTTGAGAGCACGGCGTGCGTTGCCCATATCAGCTTCTGCAACCCAACTGTCCTCAGTGGGGTCGTATCCCTTCCAGCGTATCAGGAACTCGAGGGTCTTGCCGCCACGGCGCCGATGAGTGAGAACACGCTCCACTTCGTACTCGGGTTCATCCTGTATGAGAACAGGTGGTGGTGGCGGGAGTTGCCGTCCCTGGAACTGTTGGTTGGGGTCCTTGTAGGGCTTCAGTAGCTGGACATGGAAAGCGTTGTGAAGCTTCCATGTATCTGGTAAGCGCAAGCGGAATGTAACTGGTGTCACCTGTGCCTCCACGAGAAACGGACCACAGAAGCGAGGCCGGAGTTTGGATGGGAGGTGAGACATGTTCAAGTTGCGTGTGTCAAGAAGCACCTGATCTCCGACTGCTACTGAGTGATCTCGTCGCTGACGATCGGCATATTGCTTCTGGGAGTTCTGCATCGTGGTGAGACGTCGCTGAGTCTTCTCCCATAGCTGCTGCATGGTGGTGACGAAGTCATGTGCGGCTTGGACGTGTGACGGTGTGGTTGGCTGCTGTGGTGTGAGTGGTTCCCGTCCGTAACACAGGAAGAAAGGAGTTTTCCCTGTGGCCGCATGTGAGGCGTTGTTGTACGCGAACTCTAGGGTCGGTAACTGTGTGTCCAAGTGGCTGACGTCGTCCTTGCAAGCTGTGCGCAGTAACTGTTCAACCACTTGATTGAGTCGATCTGTCTGTCCGTCAGTCTGTGGGTGGTATGCTGAGGACATCGCAAGTTTGGTCCCTAATAATCCCATGAGTTCCTTCCAGAACTTACTCGTGAATTTGGGGTCTCTGTCTGAGATGAGTGTAGCGGGGATGCCGTGGATGGTGATTATGCGGTCGAAGAAGAGGCGAGCAGATGCTTCAGCTGTGGCGGTGGCGTTGGTCGGTATGAAGTGTCCCATTTTGGAGAACTTATCGATGACTACGAGGATGGAATCATGTCCCCGTGAGGTCGAGAGAAGTCCTGTGATGAAGTCGAGACTAACGACCTGCCATGGCTGCTCCAGTACGGGTAGAGGCTGAAGTAATCCTGCTTTTTTCTGTTTGCTGCTCTTCATCCGCTGGCACGTGTCGCAGGAGGTGACGAACTGCTGCACGTCTGCTGCCATCCGAGGCCAGTAGTAATACTTTGCTATTCCCGCTAACGCCTTGTTGCTCCCGAAATGTCCCGCGTATGGTACGTCGTGAAATTCCTCCAATAGGATCTGCCGTAGCGGGGCGTAATTCGGTACCCAAATCTTTCCTGAACCCTTCCTTACCGCTAGGTCTTTCTCCCACTGTAACAGCTTCTGTTTCTCTGCCGTTGCTATCTCGCCGTCCACGGAGTACCCATGTTGGAATAGACCCTTGAGTAGAGGGTGACGCCCAGCTACTGGACGCCCAACTGCTCGGCGTCCTGAGTCGAGGTCGACGTCGGCCCCTCCTTCGTCGACCACCAGGTCCGGTCGACCACCAGGTCGACCACACGCCTGGTCGACCAACCACCAAGTCGACTAGCAGGCCTGGTCGACCAACCAGGTCGACCAGAAGCCCTGTCAGCCGACCACCCGAGTCGGCTGCCCCAAGTTGACGTCACCAAGTTGACGTCCTCCGCAGGTTGACTTCCCAGGTCGACCTCCCTGAAGTCGGCGCCACCCTGAAGTCGGCGCCCGTACAGTGGTCTCCATGCAGGTCGACCTCCTCGTCAACCAGCTCGCCCACTGCTGCAGGTTGGCTGCTCCCTTCACACCCGACCACGAAGTCGGCTCCGCTCAAGCGAGGACGGGGCCAACACACAACTCCCGTTGACAAACCCAACATCATGATTCTTTTCCAATGCCACCTCTCCTCCCACACTCTTCCGGATTGCGCGCATGGATTCGCTCTTTGAGGCGCACTTCTCCCCTCTCGCTGCCTCTGGCAAGCCCATGAGTCGCTGCGGCAAGTGCAAGCAATGCAATGTCTCCGCGTGATTATTAAATTTCCTTCGTTTTCCTCTGCTCCCCTTCACTGTCAGATCGCACGCATGGACTCCCTCTTTGAGGCGCATTTCTCCCCTCTCACCTACTCAGGTAAGCCCATGGGTCGCTGCGGCAAGAGCCCTTTGAAGCCCAGCGCACTCGTCCAAACTCACCACAATCCCCTCTGTGCTGCCCCCGTTCTTCCCCTTCCCTGTCAGATCGCTCGCATGGACTCCCTCTTTGAAGCCCACTTCTCCCCTCTCGCCGCCTCTGGCAAGCCCATGGGTCGCTGCGGCAAGTGCGGGCGGTTCATGCCCTTCGTGCCGCTGAAACCAACACGGCTCCTCTGCCCCACTTGTGAAGACATCTTCAACCTGCCTCAGAATGGCGCTATCAAGGTGAGGGAAGGGGCATAGGCACCGGGCAAGCTTATGGGTCACTGTGGCAAGTGTGGGCGGTTCATGCGCTTCATGCCGCTGAAGCCAACACGGCTGTTCTGCCCCACGTGTGAAGACATTTTCAACCTGCCTCAGAACGGTGCCATCAAGGTAACCTTGGAGTCGATCGGAAATGTGAGGCAGATATATCAAGTAACCCCATGGGTTGCTTCGTGCCGCTGAAGCAACATGGCTCTTCTGACCCACGTGTGAAGACATTTTCAACCTGCCTCAAAACGGTGCTATCAAGGTGAGTAAGTGTCACTATCAGGCAACGAGAAGAGTAGCAGAGACATGAGGTAACCCGATAGGCGCTTCGTGCCATTGAAACCCACACGGCTCTTCTGCTCGACCTGTGAAGACATCTTCAACCTGCCGCAGAAAGGTGCTATCAAGGTGAGAGGAGTAGCAAGAAGCCAAGCCGCAAGCCCATGGGTCGCTGCGGCAAGTGTGGGCGGTTCATGCGCTTCGTGCCGCTGAAACCGACGAGACTCTTCTGCCCCACGTGTGTAGACATCTTCAACCTCCCCCAGAATGGTGCTATCATGGTGAGTAGGTATGGTTAGCAGATTTTACACAGGTAGCACCATGGGTTGCTTCGTGCCGCTGAAGACAACACGACTCTTCTGCCCCACGTGTGAAGACATCTTCAACCTGCCTCAAAACGGCGCTATTAAGGTGAGGGGAGTACAATTAGCAAGAACGCAAGTGCATGGGCCGCTGTGGCAAGTGTGGGCGGTTCATGCGCTTGCCGCTGAAACTCACCCGGTTGTTCTGCCCCACATGCGAAGACATCTCAAACCTGCCTCAGAACGGCGTTATCCAAGGTGATGGAGGGCCTGTCCGGCAGGGAAGGGAGTGGCAGAGGTATTAGATTACCCCACAAAACTGTTCTGCCCACGTGTAAAGACATCTTACAGTATTCGCCCGGATACTAGACCTGGGGGTTTAATGCTGTCATCCCCCAAGAACGGAGGGGAGGCTTAACCCAAGACTACATTTTACAGGACTCGGGTCATAACTTGTTTTCACCTATTATTGTAGAATACCCAAGTTTGGAAGATTGTCTGTGCCGATAAAACGAGACGCGTACAAATGAGGCAAGTTTACCTCGCATAAAGGCAATCTTCATAGCACCGTCACTTGACGGGTGTGTGGGTTGGGTTGTCACTGTGCTGGTTAGGTGCGCGCGATTTAGGGAACGAAGGGAAACAAGTGGAAAAAGGGAGGTCTATGCCCGTCATCCCTAGGGGGGTCTCATCCTCAGACGACCCAGATATAAGCCCCCTACCCGTAGTGTGGACCCGGGGGCCCTTATTCAGGGAGGTCTAGTATCCGGGTGAATGCGGTAAACCTGCCTCAGAACGGTGCCAGCAAGGTGAGGGGTGCGTCACTGTCAGGCAAAGAGTGGAGTGACAGAGATATCAGGTAACCCCATTTAAACCCAGAAAGCCTTCTTGCCGACGTGTAAAGAACGGCGCTGTCAAGATGAGTGGCAGCCGGTGAATGGGAGGGGAAAGGCGTAGTCACGTGTCCCTCACTCATCATATCAGGCTTTCAAATTTACCACTTTTATCAAACCGTTACGCTCCTTGTTTCTTTTTCTTTCCGTGCAGCTCTACAAGGAGCTCACCTGCCCGCTCGACAACTATGAGCTTGTTATTTACTCTCTGCCGGGGCCCGAGGGCAAAACTTTTCCTCTCTGCCCATACTGCTATAACCATCCTCCTTTTGAGGACCTGGGAAAACCAATCACCCCTGCTGCCAGCACCACTTCCTCCTCCTCTAAACCTGCTGCCGAGTCTCCTTCCGAACCTACTTCCCAAGCCTCATCCAGGACAGGCTCGTCAGTGTTCACTGGCATGGCCTGCACGAGCTGCGGACACGTGTCGTGCCGCCATTCGCTGGTGAGCATGGGCGTGTGTCCCTGCCCGGAGTGTGAGGGGACTCTTGTCCTGGATCCTGTAAGCACCCCTAAGTGGCGCTTAGATTGCAACCGCTGCAGCTGCGTTGTTTTCATAAAAGCCAATGTGCACCGCATGGCAGTGGTGCCCATGTTTGCGTTTGGTGCTTCCGGCTTTTTGCTAAAAGCGCAGCAGCAGGGGAAGCAGGGGCAGGAGGGTGAGAAGGAGGGTGGT